TTTTCGGGGCGCCCTGGCCGTAGGCGCAGGCGATGCCGCTCTGCACCGCGCTGAGCCAGCGCCGCTGCCCGGCCCCCGAATCCGCCTGCAGCACGCACGACCTGGGGAAAGGGGTTTTGGGGTCCCCAGGGGGGTTTGGGGGTCCCCCAAGGGATTTTAGGGGTCCCCAGGGGGGATTTTGGGGTCCTCAAGGGGATTTTAGGGATCCCCCAGGGGGTTTGGGGTGCCCCGGGGGGATTTTGGGGTGCCCCCAAGGGATTTTAGGGGTCCCCCAGGGAATTTTAGGGGTCCCCCAGGGGGGTTCTGGGGTCTCCAAAGGGATTTTGGGGTCCCCCAGGGGGCTTTGGGGTGCCCCGGGGGGATTTTAGGAGTCCCCCAGGGGGATTTTGGGGTCCCCCAGGGGGTTTTGGGGTCATTTTGGGGCAGATTTGGGGATCCCAGCGGGGTTTGGAGCTCCCTGGCTTTGGGGATTGGGAGATTTTGGGGTCCCTTTCCAGAATTTTGGGGTCCTCCATGAGAATTTTGGGGTCTTTTCCTGCAGTTTTGGGGCAGATTTGGGGATCCCTGGGGTTGTTTGGGGAGTTTGGAGCTCCCTGGTTTTGGGGATTGGGAGATTTTGGGGTCCCTTTCCCAAAATCTTGGGGTCCCCTCAAAATTTTTGGGGTCTTTTCCTGTAATTTTGGGTTTTTTTGGGATTTTTTGGGGTTTATTTGGGGTTGTTTTGGCAGATTTGAACCCCTCACCTTTGGGAATTGGGATTTTTTTGGGGGTCCCCCTCAGGATTTTGCATTCCTTTGAAATTTTGGGGTCCCTCGGAGATTTTTGGGGTCCCCCCTCATAATTTTGGGGTCCCCCAGAAGAGTTTTGGGGTCCCTCGGATAAATTTTTTTGCTATTTGGGGGGGGATTTTTAAGCCTCCACCTTTGAAAATTGAGATTTTTTTTGGGGTCTCGCTGAGATTTTTGGATCCCCCGAAATTTTGGGGTCCCCCCCGGGGGATTTTTGGGGTCCCCCCAATGATTTTGGGGTCCCCCCGGGGTTTTTTGGGGGGTCTCACTTGGAGGGGGAGACGACCTCGAAGCAGAAGCGGCGCTCGAGGTCGGGGCAGGGTTTGACGGTGCAGAGCCTCAGGTCCTCGACCACCACCGTGGGGGGGTCCTGGGGGACCCCAAAATCTCATCGGGGGGGTCCCCCCAAAATCCCGAACCCCCCAAACCCCCGGCCCCCCGAATTCCCTGTCAAAACCAGCCCAAAAAACCCCAAAATCCTGAAAAAATCCGGTAAAAATGGCTCAAAAATCTGCCCCAAATTCCCCCAAAATCACCCCAGGACCCCCCAAAATCCCCCCAGGACCCCCCAAAATCATTCCAGAAC